CTTGTTATACCTCCGGTAGGGGTGCACTTAATTTTTGGGGTCTCGGCCGCTGCACTACATGTATTTATGCATTTATTCCTCAAAGTGCTAGCACTACTTGCGTTTCGTTTTCAAATGCTGTTGTGTACACGCGTGACGTCACCCGAAATGCAATAAGCTGCATATCATAGCTGCCCATGTGTTTTGTCTACATTTCATGGAAGCATTGGGGAACGGGTGCAGTTACGAAACCTGGCATAAAATGTTCTATAGCCCTGCGGCAACTGTACGCGTGCTATAGTACTAGAGCTAGTTCCGGGCCACAGTACCCAGGGGAGACATAGACCCTATGAGCCTCAGTATCAACGCCACAGTACAGTTATGAGCGGCTATGCCGAATTGAGAATAGAATTGACTACACAAAGTGATGTACATGTCGTACAGGCCTGATTGAGGTCCCTAGATTTTAATCATAGGCTTAGGATTCAAATAAAGTTATGGTTGGTACTGGCATAATTACCAGTACCAGACAGTGACACCAACCAATTTAATCATATATGGCTACGTAACGATGCAATGCACTGCTAATACTAGTAATAGTAGTGCGCAATTGGGGGCGTTTGTGTGTTACCAGTAACACAGCTACTGTCCTGAGGCTACAGAGCAGGATACAGAGAATAAACGCAATGTGCGTGAAATGCAAAAAGTATATGCGTGCGTGTGTACTGTGTAAATGTGTGTGGTTGAGTTGCATTTATCTACTTGCAGCCACACTTAAGTAATCCCCCATCGGCTCGATGCCATTGTGAAGCCTTGAAGTCAAGAACTCGATCTCTTAATGAGGAGACTTGATGCGAATAATGGACCTCGTCACTGGGAAAAGCTGTCAGCTGCTACGAGCCAGCTCAACATTTACCAGTGCAGGAGAATCTGTTGTCATTCCTGCTGTGCAGGGACCAGGTTAGTACCACTAACCGCAGTATAGTACCACGCATAAAAACAATTCCCTGGGATGGCTTCTAATTATCAGTAATTAATGAACGCAGACTATGCACATATGAGCAACTATAGTGTCTGGCCATGATTACATTATCGGTGTTGAGTGTAATGTTTCTTCAGTTGGTTTTGTGATCACGTATAATATACTATATAGCGTTTCGTGCCTTGGTGTGTGGCATCGTCAGCGCTTGTACGCACGTCCTGTGAGTGTCACCCACTGTGTTATTTATGTGTTTAAATTGTGTGTCCTTGTAGAAGAGGAACTGACTTCACTATCAGCCAATCATCCAGAACGAGGTGACGTTGCCATATCACAAGCTGGCATAGGCATGTCACAAGGTGACATGGCCGTCACACACGGTGACATGGATGTCTCACAAGATGACATGGATGTCCCACAAGATGACATACACGTCTCACAAAGTGACATGGCCGTGTCACAAGGTGTCATAGACATTTCACAAGGTGACATAGACGTCTCACAACGTGACATGGTTGTGTCACAAGATGACATAGGCGTATCACAAGGGGACATACACGTCTCACAACGTGACATGGCCGTGTCACAAGGTGACATAGACGTCTCACAACGTGACATGGTCGTGTCACAAGATGACATAGGCGTATCACAAGGGGACATACACGTCTCACAAGGTGATATGACTGTGTCACAAGGTGTCATAGACATTTCACAAGGTGACATAGACGTCTCACAACGTGACATGGTCGTGTCACAAGATGACATAGGCGCATTACAAGGGGACATACACGTCTCACAAGGTGATATGGCCGTGTCACAAGGTGACATACACGTCACACAAGGTGACATGGCCGTGTCACAAGGTGACATA